TAGCTTAATTATTTTTTAAACTTTTCTTGCTTTCTGATAAATTATTCAAAATTATAAATAGCCTTGTTTTTTTTTTTTGTTTGCTTGTTTTTTTGAGTCAGAGTCCCATTCTTGTCGCTCAGGCTAGAATACAGTAGCACACTCACGGCCACCCCAACGTCGACCTGCTGGGCTCCCATGATCCTTTCACCTCAGCCTTCCAAGTAACCAGAACTACAGGCGCACACTAGCATGCCTGGCTCATTTTTTTTTTTTTTCTTAATATTTTAGAAACAAAGTCTCATCAAGTTGCCCAGGCTGGTCTCGAACCCCTGGGCTCAGGCAATCCTCTCACCTCAGCCTCCCAAAGTGTTGGGATTATAGGCTTGAGCCACAGTGCCTGGTCTATAAATAATAGCTTTCTAAGTCTGCTTTAGCTATGTCTCCCAAGTTTGATATCTAGAATTATATTTATTAAGTTGTGAGTACTGTATTTCTTAATTTCCCATTTAAATCTTTGGCTTTTGCCTGTCTAGTAATTTATTCCTAAACACATGGGGTTTTTAAAGTATCTTTTTATTGTTAATTTATAATTTTTTGTTTGATTGTACTGTGTTTTAAGGACACAGCCTGTGTGATATTGATTCTTTGAGAGCCACTGAAGTTTCTTTTATGGCTCAACTTGTAGTCTGTTTCTGTATTTGTTCTGTGTGGGACTTCTCAAAAATGTGTATTTTGTGTATGCCAATTGTAGAATTATCTTATTTCTCCTATATTGAACTTATTGTCCTCAATATCATCTTATAAACTACATTATTCTGCCTTATTATTTTTCTGAGAGGGATGTGTTAAAATTGTTGTTTCATAGCTGGGCGTGGTGCCTCATGCCCATAATCCCAGCACTTTGGGAGGCTGAGGCGCAAAGATTGCCTGAAACCAGCCTGGGCAACTTGGCAAGACCTCATCTCTGCAATATATAAAAAAAATTAGCCAGGCTTCGTGGCATGTGCTTGTAGTTCCAACTACTTGGAAGGCTGAGAAGGAAGGATCGCCTGAGCCCAGCAGGTCGAGACTGCAGTGGCCGTGAGTGTGCTGCTGCACTCCAGCGTGAGCAGCAAAATGAGACACTGATTCAGAAAAAAGAAAAAAAAAGTGTTGTTTCATGTTGTTTTCTTAGCTGTGATATCATTTCTTTCTTTGAGTTGGAGTCTCACTCTGTTGCCCAGGCTTGAGTGCAGTGGCACACACACTCAGCCACCACTGCCTCGACCTGTTGGGCTCAGGCGATCCTTCCAAGTAGCTGGAACTACAGGCACATGCTACCACACCTGGCTTTTTTTTTTAATTTATTGTAGAGAAGAGGTCTCACCGAGTTGCCCAGGCTGGTCTCAAACCCTGAGCTCAGGCAATCTTCTTGCCTCGGCCTCCCAAAGTGCTAGAATTATTGGCTTGAGCTACCACGTCCGGCCAATATCATTTCTTAACCATCTTACCCTGTAAATTCAATAGACAAAGCAGATGAAAGCATCTGGTTGAATCTGGAAGAATGTTCTTAAGTAGAGCCTCCCTACAAGGCCCCATCCCAGGAGACCCCGAGGAACATCTGCGGAATTAACCTTTCAGTTTTATTTCTATTTTTTGTTTTTTTGAGTTGGAGTCTCACTCCGTCGCCCAGATTGGAGTGCAGTGGCCGCTCCCGGCCACCGCAGCCTTGACCTGCTGGGCTCCGGCGATCCTTCTGCCTCAGTCTTCCAAGCAGCTGGAACTATAGGCGCGCGCTACCACGCCCGGCTAATTTTTTGATTGATTGTAGAGATGAGGTCTCCAAGTTGCCCAGGCGGGTCTCGAACCCACGGGTTCAGGCAATCCACTCATCTCAGCCTCCCAAAGGCACAGGATTACAGGCTAAGCCACCGAGCCCGGTTCAGTCTTATTTCTTATCACTCACCCACTAATCCCAAGACCCCCAAGACTTTCCAATTTGCAGCCAACAGGCTGTCTCATCCTCCCTCTCATCCCATCAGCTCTGGTGCTTTTCTGCTTGCCATTCCACCCACCAGGGTTCTCCCTCACACAATCAAACTCTGAACCTTAGTCAAGACCCTGCTCCCATGCTGTGTCTTCCAAGAAATCTTTTCTAGCCTTATTAGTGCTTAGAATTCTAAAAGCAATTATTACGAGCACAATCAATTTGGTATTTATCTACTACCTAATTCACTAATAAATTAGCTTGTACTTAATGATTAGCAATTGTGGTGGGTGTAACCTTTAGAAAACAGTGGTTGTTGTTTAATATTTGCTGTGTTAATTTTGCTTCCCCTATTATAGTCTATAAGTATCTGGACTATAACGCATGTCTTGTGTGTCTCTATTCATTAACGGACCCAACCAGCATCTTGTTCTTGGTTACCGACCAGCAAAAATACCTGGAATTTATTTACTTCAATGTTAATATGACTTAATTTTTTTCCTATATGGATGACAGTTTTGCTGTGTTTTAAGTCCTTCATCTTACTGTATTTTGCTAAAAGTGTTCTTAGTTAATAACAAGCTTTGTCAGTGAAAGTTCTTTAAGGTTCTCTTCAAAATCCTTGTTAAACAAACAGATTTATTTTCTTTCTAAAATAAGTCCCCACTTGTGCTTTATTCTTTTAATGTAAATGTATGCATAAAGTCGTCTTTATGAGTATGTCTACTCATTTACAAAGCGGTGTCTGCTAAGTCTGGTAAAGGGGTAGAATGGACTAGGCTGTCTTCCTGCCCCCTCTTCCTGCAGACTATCTGACTTAAGCCTTCAGTTTGCAAGTTTTCCTCCTAAAAACAGGAAATATAAAATAAGTCCAGCATTAAACTGAGCATTGAGAGCGCCAAGACGGTCTCAATCTGCTAATTTGTTATTCTGCTGATGAGATGATTGCTTCTGTCCATAGTGGTGGGCATGATGCCTTTGAGTCCTGGTAGCACACCTGGGCCTGAGCTGGTGCTACGTGAGGTACAAGATACGCTTAAAGCAATATTGTCCCCACTCTGGTTTGCTAGTGTGGATTTTTGCCCAGAATCGATACTGGTGAAATATAGCCCAGCCAGATTCTCAAATCCTTTTAGATCCTAATGTAGAGGTAGCAAAGTGAGACAGAAGGCAGAAGAAAGGAATGATAAGAACACTTACAAGTCATGAACTTGCTAAGACCTTTGATGTGTGTGTTGTTATTTAATTTTTCCAATATCCATGAAATGGATATTATCATTTCATAGATACAGTGGAACCTCAGAAATAAAACAATGTATTCATTCATTATTGGATATTGATTAAGTAGTAGATTGGTGGACTGGCTTCAAATCTCACAGCTAAAGCAACATCCTTAACTCCCCTTACGTTTGCTCACATAATCCATCTTGTACCTTTTGTATATATTAAAGAAATGTAGTTATTTAAAATTAACTGTTGAGTGTCTTTCCTACTAGACTGTAAGTCCTAGCAGTAGAAATCATATTGCTTTGTTCGGTATTATATCTCCAAGAGCAAGTACTTTGCTTGGCATATATCTAGTGCTCAGTTAATATTTCTGTTTCCCCCTTTTTAGGGGGTGGTTGGATGGGAGGGAGGGGCCCATGGTTTCCACTACTTTGTGTTGACTGTCTTAAGTAAGTAAAGCGTTCGTGGAAAGTCTCGACCAGGGTGAACCTGACCAATCAGAAGATTTTATGGATGAACTAAACTTCTTAGGTAGAAATAAAATAATTGACCGGGCTTGGTGGATCAGCCTTTAATCCCTGCACTTTGGGAGACTGAGGCGAATGGATTGCCTGAACCCATGGGTTCGAGACCAGCCTGGGCAACATGGTGAGACCTCGTCTCTACAATAAATCAAAAAATTAGCTGGGCATGTTAGCGCACACCTGTAGTTCCGGCTGCTTGGAAGACTGAGACGGAAGGATCGCCGGAGCCCAGCAGGTCAAGGCTGCGGTGGCTGGGAGTGTGTCACTGGACTCCAGCCTGGGTGGTGGAGTGAGACTCCCTTGTGTTTTTGTAAAATGGGTTATATGAGCAAATGCAAGGGAAGTTAAGGATGTTGGTTTAGCTGTGAGATTTGAAACCAGTCCACAGATCTACCACTTAGTCAGTATCCAGTAATGAACACATTGTTTTATTTCTGTGGGGTTCTACTGCATCTGTAAAATGATAATATCCATTTCATGGATGTTGGGAACATTAAATAACAACATACACATCAAGGGTCTTAGCAAGTTCATGACTTGTATGTGTTCTGTAAAAAAAAAAAAAGAAAATAATTTCTAACTGCAACCTATATATAAGGCCATGTATGACCTTAAGTATTAAGTACTCTCAAAAAAGGAACTATTGTAGAGCTAGGCAAGGTGTCACACACCTGTAGTCCCAGCTACTTGGGAGCCTGAGGCAGGAAGATCACTTGAACCCAGGAACTGGAGGCTGTAATGTGCTGTGATTATGCCTGTGAATAGCCACTGCACTCCAACCTGGGCAAGCAAGACTGTGAGTCTTAAGAAAACGGTGACAGGGCATGGTAGCTCACACTGGTAATCTCAGTGCTTTGGGATGCTGAGGCAGGAGGATTGCTTGAGGTCAGGCGTTCAAGAATAGCCTGGGCAACATAGCAAGACCCCATCTCTACAGAAAACAAAATTAAGAAAAAAAATTTAGCTAAGTATGTTGACATATGCCTGTAGTCCCATCTACTTGGGAGGACAAAACAGTTGGATTGCTTGAACCCACAGGGTGGAGGATTGCAGTGAGCCAAGATCTTGCCACTGCACTCCAGCTTGGGTGACAGAGCGAGACCTTGTCTCCAAAAAGAAAAAAAAAAGAAGAGAAAAAGGAACTATTATAGAGGAATCACCATTGGATGGGGAAACACTGACATCTTTATAAAACAAACTCTACTGCTTTCCACTGCTTCACTTGACTAACCTAAAAAACAAACAAACAAAAAAACAAACTCTACTGCTCCTTTTAATTTTTAAAACTTTTTTTTTAATAGAAAAAATCAGGCAAAGATATGCAGATCTGCCTGGAGAACTGCACATCATTGAACTTGAAAAGGATAAGAATGGACTTGGACTCAGCCTCGCTGGTAATAAAGACAGGTCACGCATGAGCATATTCGTGGTGGGAATTAACCCGGAAGGACCTGCTGCAACAGATGGGCGAATGCGGGTTGGAGATGAGCTGTTGGAGGTGAGAGGCATATGTTTTCAATTTCTCTTCTGGTGAAGTCTGGGGAATGCGAAGCATGGTGTGCAGGAAAATGAGGTGAGAGGGAAGAATGTTGACAAATCACATTTCCTTCAACTACTTAAAATCATTTTCCAAAGCAAGAACAGAAATCAAATTTTGGCTTGCAAATATTCTTTGCCGCTTGTCACAAAACAGTTGAATAGCTCTCAAGCAGAATATTATGGAAGCATATTAAAATTGTAGGACTTGTTTTTAATACCAATTGGAAAATGTTCAAAATTAATTTGGTTGTATATTAATTCAACATTGTTAGTCGTTATCAAAGTTCCTCTTGGGTTTTGAATTAAACGTAAGTATAACTTCTCTTGCGGTTCTTTTGGGTTATTTTCAGAAGGTATTGGCGTCAACAAAATCCTGTGAACTTGTCAGAAATAGTTAATGTCTGTCAAGGTGGGTTCCTCATTTAGGATCAGGATAGAAGAAGGCTGACTCTCTGGTAGTTACTTCATCATTAATCTAAAAAGTTTATTCTTATTTGCTTTTTGTTTTGGGTTTTTTTTTTTTTGAATTAAGAGTCTCACTCTGTCACCCAGGCTGGAGTACAGTGGCACACTCTCAGCTACCCCAGCCTCAACCTGCTGGGCTCAAGCGATCTTTCTCCTCAGTCTTCCAAAAGCCAGAGCTATAGAATCGTGCTACCATGCCTGGTAATATATATTTTTTGATACATTGTAGAGACATGGTCTCACCGAGTTGCCCAGGCTGGTCTTGAACCTCCGGCCTTGGGCATTCCTTTCGCCTCGACCTTCCAAAGTGCTGGGATTACAGGCTTGATCCATCACACCTGGCCCTTTTATTTGTTTTTAACTTAAAGCCAGGGCTTCTGTTCTGAGTTGATCTTGGTTTGATACTCACTGGCTTATTCAGTACTCATTCATTCGGCTAACACTTTTTGAGTGTTATTAGGACCAGGCACAGAAAAACAGATGAAGACTTCTGGTCCCTTCATTCTAATAACAGTAGTGATGATAATGATGGTGATGCTTAATATATACCCGACACCAGGCACAGCAACCTCTCCAACGTGTGAGGTCATAATGTAAGTGGCAGCTCTAGGATCCAGTGACAGTTTGCCTGCTGGCTGTGTTAGCCACTGAGCTTGAAGGCCTCTTGAGTCAAATGTCCCAACACCAGAGCATCGGGGAAAACTAAATCACGGAGACACTGAGTGTGCAACTGCTTGCTTGAAATGGTGGCTCACTGATATCGCATTTTATGATTTCCTCTTCAACCTCTGCCTTAGAATAGAATTCACAGTCATCCAAAATTGGACTTGCCTAAGAATGCCTGCAGCCACAGCTGGTCAGGTGCAGCAGGGAGACTGTCACCACCAGCTCTTTCTTCAAGCCTTGTGGGCCTCTTCCCACCTGTTACTGCAATGAAAGAAGTCACTTCTGGGGTTGTTTTTCTTTTGTCTTTTTTGTCCTTTTGTAATAGAGCATCATGGATGGACCCACCATGGGTAGTAGCACTAACACAGTCACTAAGTAAACAAGGCCCAAGATGACCGTATGTATTAACCAATATTATTCATTGCCTCGGGTTTTTTGCCTTTGACTAATGTTTAGAGACTTCCTTGGAGATGAGACAAAAATGATGGTGGTGGTAATAATGATAAAAATAGCCAGTTTGCTGAGTTATTACTGGCACTATACGTATGCGTGGCACACATTTGAATTCAGTCTTCTTAAGAGCCCTGGATGGCAACTACTGTTATTATCCGCATTTCCTGGATAAGAGACTGGATAACTAAGCATACCTGCTATTGCAGAACTAAATGACTAAGTTTGGATAGGAGCCCAGGCTTGGTAGGCCCCAAGACCCATGCTCCAGCCACTGAGGTGTCCCCATGGTTGCTTCTTTAGCCAGCCCCATTTGTCTAGATTCATGAGATTCTGATTGATGCTGCTCTAGTCTTCAGGGAATCATGTATCTTAAGTCACTCTTTTGTGTTATACATACCTAGACATGAATTTCCTGTCTTGCATGGTGTGTGGAAAAACTCCAAAGGCTGTAATTTGGAACATGAAGATTCTAGTTATATTCTTTCTACCTTATTAAGACTCGTGATGGAATGTCCTATGGGATCTCGACCAATAGGAACACTGGTATTTCATTTCTCCCTCTGACATTTTATTAGATGCTAGTAACAAATGAGCTGGGGCTGCAGAATAATAAGAGTGTTTTGCAGGCCAAACACAAATCCAACACAGTGTACAGCCACTGAGCACTGGGCTTAGAAGGCCTGCTTTAATTTATCCCAGTTCTTTTTGTGTGTGTGTGTGTGTCAGAGTCTCACTCTGTCACCCAGGCTGGAGTGCAGTGGCACACTCATGGCTGCCACAATCTCAACCTGCTGTGCTCAGGTAATCCACTTCAGCCTTCCACGTAGCTAGAACCACAGGCACGTGCCACCACATCTGGCTAATTTTTTTATTTATTGTAGAGACGAGGTCTCGTCAAGTTATCCGGGCTGGTCTCATATCCCTGGGCTCAGGAAATCCTCTTGCCTCCACCTTCCAAAGCGTTGGAATTACAGGTGTGGACCAGTTCCTTTCCCAATTATCCCAGTTCTTTTTCTTATTAGCTGTGCTTCAGAAGGCGCTTAGTGTAATGTATGTGTAAGAGATAAAGAGTTTGTCTTCTCTTAGATGGTTGACAGAGCATCAACCAACATCAAATATATGAGAATTTCCCCAAACACACCAAACAGTTCTCTAGGGGACACCAACTGAGAATAATTCAATTCAATTCGTACATTATCTGTCTGGAGACAGCATCAGGTCCCACAGGTTGAGGGCTCAGTCCCACAGGACTGCCTCCCTCTGTCCCTGACTTCTGATGCTAATCACGAGTTCCAGGATATGACCTGAACTTCTGACCGACCTGCTCTAAGTTAGGGGTCCCCATGACCCCCTCCTCGGGTTTGATTAATTCGCCAAGATGGCTCATGGAAGTCAGAGAAATACTTCACTTACATTCTCCCATTTATGATCAAGGATGTTCCAGAGAATACAGATGAACAGCCAGATGAAGACATACGTAGGGTGAGGTATGTGTGAAGGGGAGGGTGGATTTTCTGTGCCCTGGGTGTGCAACCTCCAGGCACATTCATATGTCAGCAACCCAGGAACTCTCCAAATCCCATAATTCAGGGGTCTTTAGGGAGGTGGCATCACACAGGCATGATCGATTACCAATTGAGTCTCCAGCCCCTCCCCTCTTTCCAGAGGATGGGGGTTGGGACTGACCGATCCAAATTTTTAATCATGGCTTGGCCTTTCTGGTAACCATCTGCTGTTCATGAACCCACCTCGAGTTGCCTTATTAGAACAAGAGATTCTCTAGTCACCCAGGGAATTCCAAGGGATTAGTAGCTCTGTCAGGAACCCAGATCCAAGACCAACTGTTAGAACAAAGGATGAGCCTAGCACCTCTATTGTTCAGGAAATTACAAGGGTTTTAGAAGTGCTGTGCCAGAAACTGGGAGCAGAGACCAAATTTATATTTCTGATTATATCACAATAGCTCAGCATGGCAAAAACTTTACTTAATTAAAACACTTGCTCCTCCTCAGATAGAAACTTCCCATTTCTGTTTGCTAAGCTACAGACTGGGAGAGCTCTCCTGTGTAAAAAAGAATATTAACACCTTGCCTTATTAGACTCCCATTCCTTCCTTTGACTTTCTGAATTTGACCCTTTCATGGTAGTTTAGCAAGTTCAACTTCATTCAGAGATGGAAAGGACAAGAATAGGAAGCATAGCAGTACTCCCCATCCCCCTAAAGATTCTTTAGCTTAAAAAAATGACAACCACAGATAAAATATGTTGGAATATAGATTTGTGTCACATCTCTTTGGCCAGTTATTTATCTTCTCCAAGCCTCAACCACCCTCCTTTTTCAAATGGGAATTATTAATTCATTCAGCAAAATCTTATTGTGCATCTCTTGTGTCATAGGCACTGTGTGGAATGGTGTTCATTCTCCACTGGTAAACAAAATGCATGGGACCTGCTCTCACAGAGCTGACAGCCTCATGATTGAACACCAGCCTCAGAGGGTGTGATGGGAATTAGATATGTGTCATGTTGGCCTAGGATCTGGCATCTAGTAATACCTGAATACCTTCCAGATAATTTTGGTCATAAAATAATTTTTTTTGCAGATTTGTGTAGGTCAGTTCTCTTTAGTTTTTTATTAATACTTTTATCTCTGAAAGTTGCCTAGAGGGAAGTCATCTTTTTATGCTTAGTCTTTCCACGAAGTCTTTTGGAAAGTGAGGAAAATAGAAAACTGCCCATACAGGATTCCCTAGCAGTTATGACCTTTCCTCTCATGGGACTGTTTTGGCTTTAGGTCGGGGGTGGTAGGGAGTTAAATTCCTGTGGGAAACAGTTCCCTGATTTCTTTTTTAGCGCAAAAAAATGTAAATTACTTCTCTATGCTATGTGAGGAATTTGTTTGTAGTATAATGTCAAATTCAAGGGACTTTGAACTGAGAACGTGCAACTGATTTAACGAGGAGTACCAGGAAAGCTAAAAGCTGGTGTCCCAGTAGCTGTTCTGTGGATAGTGCAGTGTAGTTAATTGGGGAAGTGTAATGTGCAAGTGGGGGGCCAGGCTCGGTGGCTTAGCCTGTCATCCCAGCACTTTGGGAGGCTGAGGTGAGTGAATTGCCTGAGCCCGCGGTTTCGAGACCAGCCCGGACAACTTGACAAGGTCTCATCTCTACAATAAATCAAAAATGAGCTGGGCGTGGTAGCGCGTGCCTGTGGTTTCAGCTACTTGGAAGGTGAGGCAGAAGGATTGCCGGAGCCCAGCAGGTCGATGCTGGGGTGGCCATGAGCATGCCACTGCACTCTAGCCTGGGCAACGGAGTGAGACTCCAACTCAAAAAAAAAACAAAACAATGTGCAAGTGGGCTTTTAGATAGTGCT